AGAGAGAGAGGGAGAGAGAGGGAGAGAGAGAGGGAGAGAGAGGGAGAGAGAGAGAGAGAGGAGAGAGAGACGGAGAGAGAGAGAAAGAGAGAGGGAGAGAGAGAGAGAAAGAGAGAGGAGAGAGGGAGGGAGAGAGAGAGGAAGAGAGAAAGAGAGAGAGAGAGAGAGAGGTGGGTGGCATGATTTCAAAAGGGAAGCGCCAGGACTGGGTGGGTTGATTCCCTCTACCCAGGAAATCCAGGTGAGGGATCCAGGTAGGCAGCACACCAAAGTCCCGCCCACAGGGAGGAAAACTTTTGCGGCACCCTCCCTGGCCAATGGGTCTCCCCTCCCCTCCGACGCAGTCACCCACAGGCAGGGAGTGTCAGAGCCTTGGGCCCAGTCCCGGGTGTACCAACACACCCACGACGACACATTCAGGAGTGCCCACTGCTTCGCACGCCCAGGCGGCACCCAAAGTCCCCAGGGAAGCGTTGTCTCAGCCCGTTAATCCAGAGGGGGAGAAAACGGGCCCGGGGACTCCTGAAGGAACCCACCCTCACCCCAAAAAAACCCTCTTCCTTGGCTAAGAAGGTGCTCCACAGAAGGACTGGAGAGCAACCCCCTGACCTCAGTGGGGACAGTGGGGCAAATGGGTCCCTCTCTAGTCCAAGAGGCTAGTCCTCATGGACTTCCGGACCCAAACCCTCTGAGGTCCGAGACCGGTGCAATCCATTCACAATGGGATGCTTTCTTTCCTCCCCCTCCCCGCCCCGGCTCGCAAACCGCCCGAGAGGCAAAGGTGACTGGCATTGCCATCCCCGATTTTGCCGAGAAACCCTGTCAGAGCCCCGGGGGGTGGGGGGAGGGGTGTCTTGGCAACATGGGTTCTGGGTTCCAGAAAGACGCCACCTCTGTGCCAGAAAGTCATGGACCTAGCTGGAGACCCCGGGGGCCCTCCCGTCCTTCCTTGCCCCTAGCAGGACCTAAATCTGAGAGCCCCTCTTTCGTGCACCCACCATCTGGACCTAAATCTGAGAGCCCCTCTTTCGTGCACCCACCATCTTGCACCCACCCACCCACCCCCAATGGGGAGAGGGAGAGGCTCCATTCTCATCATTTATGTTTGTGAACGGGGGCAGTGAAAAAAGTCAAGATGGCGGCCGTGCCCGCACCATGGGAGCAAGAGGAAGCGAGGAGAGGACAAAAAGGATGGGGATTAGGATCGGGCGAAATCAGACCTCTCTACATTCCTTCCCTTTACTCTCGTCTATAATCCCGCCTGTCGTTTCTTTGGCCGGTCCTGACGGTGTGTGACGTGAGCGCGATTTCCTCATCTGCTGCCCGAATTCGGTGGGCAGGGGATGATGGCGATGAGGGTGTCTGAATCTCATTCTCTTGATAAACGGGGAAAGGAAGGGAAGGGCTATTATCCTGAAATGTTGGGAGGATTTTGTCTTCAATCCAAGAGTCTTGGGAGGATCGGGGGGGGGGGGGGAAGGTGGGGGGGGGGGGGTGGGGTTGCGAAGGAGGGTGGGGGGGGGGGCGGGGGGGGGGGGGGGGGTTCTCCAAACCTCCGAAGGGCTGCCCGAACGCAAAAAGGATTCGGACTTCTCAGAGGCTCTCAAAAAGGTGAGGGTAGAATGAGCGGGGTTAAATTTCAAGGATGCAAATATGGATTAAATGGGCCCTTGAATTAAATGGGTGGACTTCAACTCCCAGAATTCCCCAGCCAGGCCAGGTGACCAGTCACCTACCTTCAAGGCCCCCACGGTTGAGAAACACCCGATTAGATTGTATGGATTTAGATTGAGCGTATTCCCTGGAGCTTTTCAGAGACCCGATAATCTCCGCTGAGTGGACTTAATGACCTCAGAGGTCTCATCCAGCTCTTTGCTCTATGACTTTCAGCTCAGCGACGGAGAAGGAGTCACTTGCATTAATAGTAGCAGCTCCTGAGAAGAGGCAGGGAGCCTCACTCTTGAACACAGAACATCCATGGCTGAAGGGTCGGGTTCTCTCCCCAAGGGTAGGCGAGGCAACCAGGGAACAGACTACCCCTAACCATCCATACCCTCCGGGATCCTCAAACACCAGCCCTCTTTAGTCTACACCCCCTAAAAGCAAACTAAGTTACTGGTCCTCAGGATCTATCGGCACCCTAGGGCTTTTTGGAACAGCTGCCTCGTGTTAAGCCCACTCAAGTGGCCTCGTCTTAATGCGGGATGTTTGGCAGGAGTATCTCCCTCGCAGCAGGCCCCAAAGATTGAACCCGGGGCCTTCTGCCGTTCCCCAACGGGCGATTTGTGTCTGAATGCCACACCGATCTTCGCCTCTTAAATTCAGCTCTGCCAACGTGCACAAAACCTGCTTGAAACAGGCCCCGTTAAGAAGTTGGTGTCCCGCACGGCACCTGTACATTAATATAACATTACGATCATCGTCTTGATGACGCAAGGGAAGAATTCCACAACCTGTTAGCCTCTTTCCCTGCAAGTCTTCTTCTTTTTCTTTTTCTTTTTTTTTTAAAGAAACTCTTGGCCTGCCAGACAGGAATTGAGGCCCCGCTTCGGTTCCCAAATGGAATCACTTAATGGAGGACCTCCCAGGCTTCGCCCGTGGAGACCCTCGGCGGTTGCTCCAAGATGTCAGCAGACACAATCTGTCAAAAACCAGAGGCGAGACCCCTTTCTCGTGCATGAAAAGCTGGGAACGAGTGAAGTGCTCTAGTTTTTTTTTTCTTCCCAACCACACAATGTCAGTTCTGGGAAAACCCCCTCCTCTTGTAGAAGCCGAGAATGCCACGTTGGTCAAGACCGAAAAGGGCAGCCTTCGGTCCAGCACCTCATCATCCCGCTGGTCAGAAGGTGGAAGTTTTTAGGGGAGGTCGCAAACGCAGCCACCTCTGCTCCCAGGCTGCTCGGCGTATCTTGCAAAAGATGCCGTTTCCTCAGCTGTAAGTCCTTTGGCCCTGTGCCTCCATCGCCATCCTTAAGGTAGACCTTCCAAGCAGTTGTCCACGTCCGGTTCTCTCTCGTCTGCTCTCCTTCGCTTCCCTACTTGGAGGTGCACCCTGGCTGGTACCCCCCATGGGTGCAGCCAAAGGAGATGGAGATTCTCTTCCTTCTCGTTGGCGTTTCCTCCTCCTGGTCACACGCAGCCACATTCCTTGGCTGACACCTCATTGACGGTGTAGTATCGGTTCCCCGTGTCCAAGAACGAGACGTCGTCGTCGTACGACAGCGGTCTGCAGCACGGACGAGCTCGCACCTTCTCCTTGCGGATCTTCCTTATGCTCCGCACGTGTTTGAGGGAGACGTCATAGTTCCGCACGGCCGACTCGCAGGTCCCGCTGCAGTAGCGGAAGAGGACGGTCTCATCCGAATTGTAGCCCAGGCCCAACTCGCTGATAGTCACCTCCAGCTCCTTGAGGGAGCAGGGCTTGTGGCGGGCCTTGGCGCGCTTCATCCGGTTGCCGGCTTTGGCGAAGAGAGGCAGCTCGTGTCCTCCCGAGTTCATGGATTGGCTGTAGCGCTCAATCAGGGTGGAGATCAGTTGGTGGATTTCCCCCTCCGTGTAGCTCTCAAACAAAGTGCTGTCTGAAATCAGAAGAGGGGGGAAGAGGTCAGCAAGGGGAGAGAAACGTGGGCCCGGGGGCTGCCTCTCCTGAGGGAGCTACATTGGCTGCCCATTCAAGTAGGGGTGGGCTGCTGGGGGGGTTCGCAGCGGGTTTGGGAGGGCCCCCAAATCCCCTCCCAACGATCAGCTGTTCCTAGGATCAACCGAGCTGGGATTCCCCTCGCGGTCTTCCCGCTTCGCCCAGGAGGCTTCCCTGAGGCCCAGGAAGGCACAAAATGGAGGAGAGCACACAGCACCCCACCCCACCCACCCCCGTGCTCCATTTTTTGCCTTCCTGGGCCCTGGGGGAGCTTCCTGGGGGCAAAAACGCCCCCGCAGGAGGCTTCCCTGAGGCACAGAAGACCCCCAAAATGGGGGAGAGGTGCTGCAAAAAAGAAAAAGAAGCCACGCCCACCCAGTCACATGGCCTCACCCACCTAAGCCACACCCACAGAACCCGTGGTTAAAAAATTTGAATCCCACCTCTGCTGAGGATCCCTTTCTGGATCCTACCAGGGTACCAGGGGTGGGATTCAATTTTTTTAACAACCGGTTCTGTGGGCGTGGCTTAGGTGGTGAGTGTGGCATGGTGGTCAAGTGACCGGGTGGACGTGGCTTGGTGTCATGTGACTGGCTGGGCATGGCCAACTCAATATCACTCACATCGAGGCACGCATCTCCTCCCCTGGCTTCTCATGACTGTGGGGATGCTGCAACAGTCGTAAGTGGGAAAAACGGTCATAAGTCACTTTTTTCAGTGCCGTTGTAACTTTGAATGGTCCCCTCCACACAAGCAAAGGACCAGCAAAGGAGGGGAAAAAAACTCCAGAGAAGTTCCAGAGACAGGAAGTCTAGTCCTGCCAAGAATGTAATAAAGGTTAACGGAGAGGCAATTTCTGTAAGCAACACCAGAATGTTTCCTTCCTGCCTTCCTTACAGGATTAGCCCAGGAATTTCTTCTAACAACCGGTTCTCCGAACTGCTTAGAATGTTAACAACTGGTTCTAGCGAATAGGTGCGAACTGGTAGAATCCCACCCCTGCAGGGTACATGACGTCCTACGAGGTCAGATAAGTGGGGATGCTCCTAGCCCCCACCGTTTTGGGTCAGCTAGGAGTTTGGGTCAGCCTTTTCCATGGCAGCCGCTGCCCCGATGGAAAACTCCTCCCCCTGAGGTTTGATAGGCCTCCCCTCCCCCCACCTTCCATCAAATATACAAACTGACAGCAGCAAAAGCCCCTGTGGTCCAGCGGTCGGCGGAGATGCTCCGTCCTCCAGACCAGGGTTGTCCCAAAGGGGCTTTTTTTCTCGAAGCCACTGGACTTTTCTTGTTTGTTTGTTTTTCTTTGAAGGCTTCATGAGAAGCGAGACGTCTTCCAAGGGAAAAAAAAAAAAAAGCAAGAATGTCCAGGGGCCTCCTGAAAAAAAAAGGCACCTTTGGTATAACGGTCCAATGATTTTGCCCTTTGAATTCTGGTTTTTCTTTAGCATTAGCCCATAGACTTCTATACCGCTTCGTAGTGCTTTTACAACCCTCTCTAAGCGCTTTACAGAGTCAGCCTCTTGCCCCCCAACAAACTGGGTCCTCGTTTTAGCCACCTCGGAAGGACGGAAGGCTGAGTCGATCTTGAGCCGATGAGGATCGAACTTGCTGGCAGTGAGCAGTGAGTTAGGCTGCAATACTGCATCCTGACCACTGAAGCACTATGGCTCTTCCTTCCTTCCTTCCTTCCTTCCTTCCTTCCTTCCTTCCTTCTCTTTCTTTTCCTTCCTTCCTTCCTTCCTTCCTTCCCTTTCTTTTCCTTCCTTTCCTTCCTTCCTTCCTTCCCTTTCTTTTCCTTCCTTCCTTTCCTTCCTTCCTTC